AGCTGCATCTGTACGAAAGTCTAACGTCCGACACATTATAGCCCGTAAATGCATGCCCAGCAGCATGCACGACAGTACGTAAAGTACGCTCGACACTTTCCACTGGTAAACGTACTTGCTCCCCCTGATCAGCCTCCGCCTGTGTACATCGACTTGTAGTTTGTGACGCAGTTGCATGAGGCTGATCGCCCTGACCTCTCTTGGAGACGGGAGCCGTGCCATCTAGGCTTCCACGAAACGTTTTACTAAGCGTATGCTTCGAGGGGCGGCGATGGCTTAGACTGTCAATACGACCGGAAGAGCACCGACGGCTCGGGCTGCGGCTACGGCTGGTGAAACGCCGACGAGTTGGGCGGCGACCACGACTGGAGGAGCTCCAACAACTCGGGCTACGGCTACGGTTGGAGTAGCGCCGACTGGACGAACGCCGACGACTCGGGCTGCAGCTACGGCTGAGGGAGCGCCGACGGCTTAGGCTGCGACCACGAATGGGCGAACGCCGACGACTCGGGCTGCAGTCATACCTGGAGGAGTGACGACGGCCTGGACGACAACCACGACTGGACGAGCGCCGATGACCTTGGCGGTGGGTTCGAGAGGACGAACATGGTGGAGGGGGAGTGCGCGTGTAAACGGGATTGTGCCATGGTTGCTGGGCTCTTTGGGGGCAGGTATTGAACTCTTGGCTTGGTGGCGAAGCAGGAGATAGCACCAGAGTTGTCGCTGGGGACGCATTAACTGGCTTAGTCATGGTTACGGGAGTAGCAGAGGCTGGCTTCGATCTTGAGGAAGGGGAAATGACGGAGTTGGTCAACCACTCGTCCACGTACTTAAGGTGGGATTTTGATCAAATCACTTGGGCAGGTGCAAATTGATCGGCTGACCGTTTTTGGGATGATCTGAATATGGTCCAAATAAAATCCTTCGCCCCCGATACTCAGCGTTTGGATTGGTTGCATTGCTGAAGTGCCAGGAACACGATAAGTTTTATTAGAATGGCAATGCAATCGAAATTGTACAGTACCAGGGTATAGAATTTATAAAAACCGCCTATGTTCTTAGGCTCACATAGTGAAAGTGTCTTCACGGAGGCAACCAAACGTAGATGTTGCACTTAAACAATTATATAAAGCAACTACACGTCCCCATGTATCGTATATCGTGACATGATGGTTGCGTGCGGTTAAAGGACAGATGATAAAGAATAGAAGACGAACGGGACATTTTACAAAAGTGTGCTCGAGTTTAGAACCGACCACTAAATCTATCGAATCACAACACTTCCAGATTTTTGCAGGGCAGTTTGAGCAACGTATCCTCCAGCTTATTCATAGTCCCACTAATATCTATATTCCGCAATCGATCGGCTATCACCCTTATGGATGCTTACTTGCTAAAGCGAGCTCATCCGGAATTAGTTCACGATGCCAAAATGAAAAAGTGTCTACGATGTATCGGTGTATGTACGTGTTTTCACTGCAGTTATAGTATTGCGAGAAGATCCTGACTATACTCGGGTTTGATTGTGTTGTGTTGCAAGGATAAGTAGATAGGCAGATACACAACCCAAGACGCTGGCGGCGCGTCAGCAGATACGCGAGCTACTAAAATCAGGCAACCTATCAAAAGAAAACTGGTCCTCATAACACTCGCAGGCATGTGATACTGTGCCCATTACGCTGTGCAGCTAACGTGATACCTATGCGGGGTCAAGGACAAAATCACGCGTAATGGTGGAGCAAATACACTTCGAGCTGCCACTCCCATGCGAGTTATCTGGATATCCCGGCACAACTACAGCAACTCAGATCTTCTCAAATTGCATTTAATGGAGACAGACTTTCCTGAAACGCTAGAAGAGCTTTACACGGCAGGTTGGGCTTATATTTTTCTTCTTGATCAATGACAGCACACTCATTATTTATTAGTTTTTGATTTGCTGACAAGAACTTATTCAAGAAGGACTACGACGTCCGCGCAGCTTTCGTCGACTCCATTTTACATACCGCAACAATTTACCAAGTTGATGATATTGCTGAAACAGCATTACACGCTGACGGCAGCAATATACGAATCAAAAGTTCAGTCCATCTTTTTTTGAGGCGTTGAGCACCAGGTCACGGTTAGCCTATACGAAATTGTTGTTGAACCATGAATATTTCATAAACGAGTATTGTTTGTCTTACATTGAGCACATTTACCGAAACAATTGATTGGCAATGATGTCCTCAAACCAGATTATCCGTAGACTTTCTTTTTTTTTCTTCTGAAACGTACATGACATACAAGCTCATAATGAAACGACACTTCCGTTTGATTATTTTTGTAACTGATTGGAGGACACGCATTAAACTGGGTAAAGTATTGTCGATTCCGCCCAAATTTACAGAATCCTGTCTATTTGTCACCATCAGCTGAATAGCCACTCAATCGCCAATAAGTAACGATTGGTCAAAACTATCAACATATAACCTATCGCTGGTGAGTTCTAGACCTGGAGTGACTGACTACCAGAAAGGAAACGTAAGGCAACTATCCTGGTGGTTGTTTAAACGTGACCTAACTCTCATTTGCAGGTACCCTGGCGTCCTTACTGGCGTCGGAGCTCTCGTTGGAGTTGCAGTTTTCGTTCGTGACAGTGCTCTCGGCTCGCTAGAATTCTCGTCACGGTTGCAGTTGGAGCTTGCCCGTTTTGGGGCGCTGGGATTCTTGCCTTGGGGTGGTAGATTCCGTTGGAGTTGTGTTCCTTGGTGGCACTGAAGCTCTAGGTGGTATTTAATCTCTAATGGCTCTTGGAGTTCTCAGTGGTGTCGGTATTTTGTTGGCACTCTATCTTTCGTTGGCGTTGGGGCCCTGGTTTCCCCCGAGTCTGCTTGTAGTCGACGCTGACGGTGTTAGCGTACTCGTCGACATCGTCGTCCCTTGTTGGTTGGTTATTTACAGCATTACAGCTAGTGTAGTAACTCCAACTACAGTACGCGCTTTAGCCAGCCGAGGCGATCTTCTAGCTGGCGGGGTCGGCACTGACGTTATCGTTGGCGATCTTCTTGTAGTCATACCCCTGTCCGGGTTTGGTGATGACTCAGGCAGCCGTGGTGATCTTCTGAGTGGGGGAGTACATGCTTAATATGGTGGCAGAGTGGGCATCCTTGTCGTTGCCGTGAACTTCTCTTGTGAAGCAATGTTGGAGGTCTACGAAGTCATTGACAATTTAACTATCGTAAATCATATTTTGTATTATTTATCATGGGCTTGGCGATTGCAGCGGCCATTTGCCAGGGTCGATTGAATCGGCCCCTTTTGGAAATTTTGAGTAGAACTCACAATATTTGCGATCCAAGGATCTTTGAAAACATGCTTTGTAGGTTAGTCGGCATGAAAACACTGCACTTATTTTTCCGCCTGTTTTACCTGTGTTTTCGCATACCTACAACGTATACGTTGGGTTTACGTACGAGCCTTATTTGGCATCCATTCAATACATTGCACTATTCCATACGATGTTCTGCATTTGTAAAAAAAAAATGGATCCTTCTTATTACACAATAAATGCTATATATGCAGCTATGCTCGTCATTTTTAACAAACGAAGGTCAGATTTCCTGTCAATTATCTCCGCCATCGCACGCTTCACGATTTCGCAGTTCTGCGACTACCACTGTTCGCATTAAGTTGTGTGTGTGCTGAGTCTTCTTCTCTGAAATTTATTTCAGAGTACACCGGGGATCCGATTTTCCTCGCATAGTTCATATTAGATCCTATTATCGTACCCTCTTTACATCAATCGTCTTGCTATTCTTCAGTGAATGAATTCGTAAATTGATACCCTTACAGACATTTGGAAACACACATCTCCGTAAATTAAATGGCCAGATTATCCGAAAATCTGAATCATTACTGTTCAAAACCTGAGATTCCTTGTTGGAGTGCGATAATTGAAAACAACGGAGGACACTTTAGATCCTCCCTGGTGTATCCACCGTGGTCATGCTCCAGCATATCGCTGCAATATCACTTTAATCGTACTCACCTGCCTTATTTTCACAGTTTATAGTTTTTGTTGACAGGCCATGCTCGAAATTCACATGCGCAGCACGACTTTGTGTAAGTCACTACAATTATGTGGGCCACTACAATACTGAGAGAGAATACCGGTTAAATAATAGTTAGGGCTGGGTTAGTGTTCCATTTCGATGACGGCCCCGCTGTGCACAAAACAAAGCTTTTCAAACTTCGAATATAAATATCCAGAGAACGCAAATATCAAGTAAGTCTGAAGCGCATTTGCCGTTCACAGCGCGTGGTATTAATAAGGGCAGAATAACCACTCAAATCGTAGGTATCTATGATTAATCTCTTCACTTGACGCTAGATATTTTTATGGTAAAAACATTCAGTTATTGGATGTTGTAGTATGTATTTTGAAATACCAACTTTGAAACCACATACCTTCTTATAACCATGAAGATAAAATGTCGATATATGAAATAGCAATACTTGCCAATCGCTTCGATCAAGGACCATGTTGATAATCATCGCACAATGCACTGGCCTTACCATCAGCTTCAGAGTATCATCAGCTACTTTTCTTGAGTTTCCCCGGCGAAGTTTTCATCCAGCCAATTCGAAACATGGCGAAGCAAGTGCTGTTTGCCGTGAGAACGCCACGAGATGTCTTGTCGGATTCTCTCCAGAAATCGTGAAGTGAATGCGTAACTGGCATGAGCCTGCAACCACAAAAGAGTTTCGAAATAGTTAGCCGCAGCTTCGACTAACGATTTGTGCGCTTCCAGCTCGCTCCCAATCTTATAGTCAGGATATCGCACAAGCAGCCAGTCTGCGACGCGGAGATGGCCCGATCTTATAGCTCTGTCAATTGCCAGGTGCGTACGAGACTCTGGCATGGTCGCAAACAACCACTTGATCATCTCCAAATGACCATTTTCGGCTGCCCGATACATCGACATATCTGTGCACCCTTCGGATCGATTCGCTTGCAGTCATTGCACAACATCGAGGTGGCCGTTTTCGGCAGCGCCATTTATCGCCCTCTTTGAACAGCCCTCCGAGCGGTTAACGTGCAGCCACTTCACCGTTTCCAAGCGGCCTTGGCGCGCTGCAACTTCCATTGCGTAAAGATCACAGTTTTGGGGGCGATTTGAATGGAACCATTCAAGTACGGCAATTTGGCCCCGTTTCGCTGCCCAGTAAATTGGATCAGTCGTGCATGACCACCATGAATCAGGATGATCAATCCGTCTACGCTTGGTGTCTGCGTTGCCAACAGACGTCACCGAATCGAGCTCATGGAAAAAACTCAAAAGCTCTGGGTATCCATTTTCTACAGAGCGGCAAATCGCTCGAATGTACCTTTTGGACTTCGCATCAAATGAATGATGGTGGATTAACCACTTCGCGGCGCTAGTCTGGCCTTCCGTGATTGCAATCTTCATGACTTCATCATAATCTTCGGCCAGTCCATTATCGTAGAGATAGTCCATAATATCAACACTCCCATTTTCAGCTGCTACACACAGTAAGCCATTCTTCCTTTTATTACTTCTCATGATCTCGCGTGCTTCTTCTCCAAGAGGGTGATCCATAAGCCATTGCAGAAATTTCAAGCTTCCGGCACTACACGCAGATTTCAGACTTCCACTCCATGCTTTCGTCCAATACTCATGACTCTCAGGAAGTGGAGAATGTAACTTGATAATCATTTCTGCAAGCTCTAGACGTCCACTGGAAGTTATAACCGGTATCGTTGACGCTGCGAGATTTCCATCACGTCGCAAATATCCGCAAGCAAACATCCACTCGATCACTTCGATATTTGGACAACCGGCAGCATAGTCCAACATACACCTGCCTCTAGGCAACAGTTGCTGTGCGAGGTCAAATTTCCCGAGTGTTAAAGCGTGTTTGATAGCAGCCTCTCGAACGCCATCGTCGACATACATACCTTCGTTCACACACTCCACAAATTGCCCATTCTCGATAGCTTTTTGAATCATTTCAAGACTCCACATAGATCGCGTAAACTTAATCGTACACTCTCGCTTCACGTCCGCTTCACCAAAATGTGCACTGTCGCACGTCGAACTTTTGCTATCATAACCTCGACAATTGGATTGGTGCTTCCATAGAAACCAAAGGATATGTACATATCCCTTTTCTTGCGCTGTACTACAGACACTTTCGGGGGCTTCACAACCCGAAAAATGCGCTAAAAGCCACTTAACCATCGGTAAATCTCCTCTGCCAGCAGCTACTTCCAGCGACTTGGAGAACTGCCAGTTGTGGTAGTTTGAGTCTGATCGTAAGTAATTACTGAGAGACCATCCAGATCTCCTTGTAGAGGATGTCGTGCAGCATGTACTCCAAATCCAGTTCAGTAGCCGTATCGATCCAAACTGGCACGCTTCACTGAGCATGAGACTTGGTGGTGGTCCTAAGAAATCGGAAATAGCATGGGTGCTTTGCTCCAGAACCTCAACAACCGGGTGAGTGCGAAGTACGAGTGCCACGATCGTAAGCATAGCGCGTAAGAAGAAATAAAATAATGAAGTTGGCTTTATAAAGAGGATCTAAACATATCAATCCTTCAATCACAGGTGATGACTACAGCATGATGGAGGCACTTTTTTTTTCCAGGAAACAGCGTTGGCCATATTCTCGGCAAAGTCGTGATGTGTGTCCGAACTGTGAAGAACACTGCCGATCGCTATCAAAAAAAAACACACACACAAACCACAAAAAAAATCGTGGCTGGACAACATTATTAGATCGTACCATTTTAGCTCGACGATACACTTAATCTTATGTCGAAAGATGCCTGCATGCCCCGCAATGTTCGCAAGTGAACGCGTCCATCCCATAGTCACAAGTGTCCCCTCCCCAGACATTCTACCGGTGGACTCGCCGACAGCTATCGCGTGGCGCACAGTGCGAACTCTACGCAAGGTTCTTCGCAATTCTCTGCTGAGTGTGACGATTTCCTGGTTATTTGCGTTTTGCTGCAGTATTGGTGACGTTTTTTCGGGACTCACACCGTGTGAACAATCGTTCGAGGAGTTCCTCGTAGCTAAAATGCTGTGGTTTCACTGTTTCTTTTGTATCGCCACGGTGTCGATCTACGTCTCCTTGTTGCGTACTGAGCAGCTCACGGACAAATTCAAGGATCGATTACCACTTATTCACTGGGTGAGGAGGTTGGCTCGGTTAACATCTCCATACTGCGTCGTAGTGGCACTCGCAGTCGTTGGCGGGTGCATAGGACTATCCAGAATACCAGGGCAAAACTACAGGTCCAAGACTAGCGTGTACTTTACACATATTTGTTTCTACGCGTTCGTTGGGTATACAGAAGTTCAAGCTCGACATCTCTTCCGAACGGAGACTGTGCGTGGTCAAGCTCGGACTCTGCAGCAGCTAATGCGACGGGAGCAACGGAAGCTCTCAAATCCAAGTATTAATCCTGCACTCGCTCGAAAACGACGTTTTCTCCGAGTAATTGTCCAGGACCTACCGCTGATAGCATCTGCTCTCTTCGCTACAGCGTATGTACACGTTGTGAGCTCCATCAAGATCACAACCCAGTTGTATTTAACACTATTTGCCATGAGTAGTATCATCGTCAAGTTGGGACTACAAGAGCTCGCGAAAAGTTTTCTATCCAAGAAGACACGAACGCCGAACATGCGGACTATGGCTATCATCGTGGCGGCCCCTACGATTTTAGTGGACACGCAACTTCGTACCGTTCTACTATGCCAGGATAATGCGTCTATGACTGTGGTTGGCTCTCTGCTCCTAGCAGCAGCTGAAATTGTTATTCGTCTTGGCAAAACAGCCTACGTAAGGTGGGCTGAGCATCGAATTCTTACTCGAAGGTCGTTATCTTCAGCTCCGATTGTAGCTGAGGCAACGTGGGCAACGAAGATCTCAAAACTGGACGGACCGCGACACAGAACAACATCCTCGTTGCGTATCGTTGACCCTATTCAAGATCGCGTTCATCGATTATTATCGCTGCATGCCGCTGAGATTTACTCGGACATGCACGCAGAGTACATTGCCATGGGGTGTTCATATGGGATTTTGTTTTTCTTTGGAGCGCATCCAAAGTACCAGCTTGCAGACTATGAAAACAACGTTAGTGGTCGCATCACAGCTGTTCACTGGACCAATGCGAGCATCACTGGGCTTCAACTCGGCATCGAGATTATTGTTGACTTTGTGGCTTGTGCGCTCGAAATTCGTCGAGGCATTGACTTCGAGCAACTCAACCGGGATGATTCTTTTCTTGCCGTATTTGTGATCGCAGTCTCGCTCGTCAATGTGCATATCTCGTCAGGCATGTATCTAAGCTCGTGAAGAACTACCATGAATTCGAGTTGGTTTCATTATTTTGACCCTTGAACTGAGGTAGAGTTTTGCCAACTGAGGAACTCGGTCTGGAATGGTTAGGAATGGGTACAGCGACCTAAATGTTTATAAGAAGATATGAATGTTTCACTTGCTCGACGTAGCACTTTTGCGGTCTCCGAAAACAAATCTACCAAGTAATACTTTCGCAGTACTATCAATTGACATCCTAGCGACGACCTATGTTCAATCGAGCGCTGACTGGGAATACTTTATATAGAACACAACATCACTATTATACTAGTCTAAAAATCGTGTATTTTGTTGTAAGAATTCACCTTCTAGGGGCTATGCTAACTCATAGTCGAAACACAACCAAAGTTTCGCTTTTACGCTTTGAAAAACGAGAGTAAACACACCAGCTGCAATTAAAACTCCATGTACTAGATTTACGCCCACGATGTCGCGCTCGGTGCGTACAGGTTCAGTTTGTGAGTGGAATAAGGCAAACAAACGTTGGGTTGCTGGTTGAATATTTTCAGACACAACATAACATCAAGGGATTTATCCGGATTGAGATCTCCCCTGCTAATCTGCTCGCAGCGACCGAACGAAACTGATCCCATAGCTGGTCCCGCATGGAAGGCCTTGTTCTAAGGTTGTATTTACTTAGTACAGTACCAAGCTGCGGAGCTCTGTTATCAGCTCACTCTTCTTCAGCTTCAATCTCGTTTTCGGTGCTCGTCACGTAGGGGAATCGCCAATACACAATAAATTCGAACAACGCGGTGCCTGGATAAAGTGTACATGTCGACGAGGGCTCTAAGTTTCCCTCGAAGAAATCTCTCGGTTGCCTGCACTGTGCAGGCTGCACAACAACAGCAGCAACAACAGAAGACCTTGCGTGTTGTTCGCCCAGATCAGGCGGTCGAGCGCTGGCGGCGCGTCTCTGTAAGGTACTTGTGACACTTGGCTACACAAATCGACAACACCTTCCTGGGAATCGATGCAAGTTGCAACGGGACGTCTACAATTTGCACGCTTCGACCATACAGTCGTGCAAGGCCTTCATGTACATGTATTGCTGCGTAATGAGGCGTCTTAGGTTCACGGTCGCCGCCATTGCGCTCCAAACCAAAAGATACTTTTCTCTTCATCCTCGTCAGCTCTTGAGACTTGCTCTGATGGCTGCGGATCTGATCACCTCGGCTCGTTTACTGGCGCCTATCCCAGTGCGAGTCATGCTCGAAGCGCGTGCAGCATGACGAGCCAGCATTGCGCGGCAGACAGGCCGGCGGGGCGTCGATGCCATGGACCTCCACGTATCTGAGCCCAACGTCGTCTTCAAGACGGTCTTGTGCTCGCGCCAATCTCTCTAGCACCACCACGGGAAGTTCACGCCTGTATCGCTGCAGGAGGATTGTCGAGCGCTCCGATCCCGCCCAGCTAGGTATCAATTTGTACTCGATCGGTTGATCGGGCCACTACGGATTTTGCCCGGCACTTCACACGCTCCCGACCAACCGAAGCCATGAGCTGCATCTCGAACGAAAGCGTCGTCGGTGACAAGCGCCGCTTCCCGCTGCGTGCCATCGAGCGCTTCGGTATTGCCGAACCCGACGTGTCGGTCAAATGCTGCCACGCTATCGCTATCAGTGGTGACATGGACCAATTGATCAAATTCCTTCCGACTGCGGTCATGCGCACATTCAACCGTCACCCACGGCTGCGCGCACTGGTCGTCAAGGACGAGGAGTTCATGGCCGAAGTTCAGCCGCATATCACGCTGGACGATGTCACGGCCAAAAATCTGCTGCGTGTCCGTGAAATTTCGGACTCGAACGAGGACGTCGCGGCCTGGAAGAACTGGAATCAGTTCGTACAGACCGAGACGCACATCCCGTTCGACCGGTTCACACAGTTCATGTTCTACCTCACTGTATGGGTCAATCGGTCGGAGAACAAAGCCCGCTTCTTCCTCTTCTCGGACCACATCATGTCGGATGGCGACTCGGGTCAGATCTTCGTCAACGACACGCTCGAAGACGTCGCATTGCTGTCGATTGAGGCGGCTAAACCGGTGAACGAGTTCCCGTTGCGACCGTCACTCTACGACATGTGGTTCACCGGCGGCCCGTGGTGGCTCAAGCCTCTAGCCAAGACCATGTTGGCGTTCGTTGGTGGCTCCGCTTTCGTCAACTTCATGAAGGTTTTCAAGCCCGTTCTGACCCCGCGCGAGGATCAGAAGGACTTTGGTATCCCGTTCGAACAGAACAGTACCACGTTACTTAGTCAGGCCGGTAACCCGACGAACATGCGCGATACTCTGCGTAAATGCAAGGAAGAGGGCGTCACACTGGGTGGAGCTCTGATTCCGATGTTGGTGCTGGCCTTCTACCACGCCAGCAAGGTCGACCATAAACTCAATGGTGTGGACGAGACCGACGGCCCGTTCCGGTTCGTCGCCGATATCTGCTACAACATGCGTCAACGCGTACCGAAGCCCGCAAAGGAGCGACAGGTGGGTCTGTACGTGACCAATACTCCGCTCCAGTGGCTGGCGACCGAGGGTGTCAACATGAAGACGGAGAAGTTCTGGGACTTGGCTCGCACTTCGAAGCTGCAGATGGCTGCGCAGGGCGATAAACTACTGGAGATGGCTATGCCGTGCTTCCTTATGGACCGCAAGCTCATCAAACCGAAGGTCGGAGAGCTGCTCGGTGACTTTAAGGTCCCTAGCTCGTGCACGGGCGACGCAACTATCTCCAACCTCGGACGTTATATCTACAAGAAGAAGCACATCTTGGCCTCTAACGGCGTGCTCGAGGTGGAGGACATGTTCGCCTTCTGTGCCATCCCATTCGTGGCTACGTCGTCGACTATTTGGCTCTCGACCGTCAACTCGTTCAACTACTCGCTGGCCCACAAGGTGGACGAGAAGGTTGGCAGTGCGTTGTTTAACGCTTACGTCAAGATCTGCGAGAACGCTAGCAGCATCAATAAGGATGACACGATGGAGGACGTACTCAAGCGTCTTGGCATCCATGCCTAAAACTACTATAAATGAAAATATTCTTACAATTACTTTAAGCTTCACCGATGTGTTGACTGGAGACAGCATCGTGATGACCGCAAATCCAATCGGCTACTTGAAGCCATCCATTGAATCAATGGCATTGATAGG